ATTAAGGGAGAGCAGAAAACTTATCTGATTGGCCCTGTTAACTGTGATACACTTTTAAAAAGATGTTTTTTCAAGGGTTCTTTAGTAAAGAAAATGGTTCTATACAGAACCATGAACATTCAAGGAACACTTTGTATGATTATGCATCAATGTATGCATCATGAAATGGTTCTTCAGAGCTTGTTACAATAGAAGAACCATTTTTGGTGATATAACCTTTTAGAACCATCTACAGCACATTATTAATCAATCTGAAGAACTTTGTCATGATGTAAAGAACCTTTAAACATGCATAGGGTTCTTTGAGTGTTCATGGTTCTATATAGAACCATTTTCTTTACGAAAGAACCCTTGAAGAACCATCTTTTTCAAGAGTGTAGGTCTGATATAGGACTGAGACACAGGGAGGAGATGGGCTGGGGGTGGGGATTGCAAAAACTTCATCACTGGAAATGGAAGGTTTGGATGGGAATTTATAAGGTGTTAGATTGGAAAGAGGAGGGCTTTCAGGCATGGTCCTATTCCCAAATTTCAGCTATTCCATAACTCCATTTAGCAAGTTTTTTAAAGGGAAATTAGTCCTCTCTAGTTTTTTGTCAGTCCTTTGGCCCAACATGGGGATTATCCCCTTTAAAGCAACGTCATTGAGTAATGTGTCATCGACGACATTCAGTTACATTGCCCTATCACTCAGGCCTACCGGCAGCCCTGAACTCTCACCCCAAATGTAGCTGATTAGCCAAGACATGTCTGGTGTCTGAAGGTTCTTTAGTTTTGCACTGGACCTACAAGGCTAATGTTGTTAGTAATGGACACTTAGGTCCCCTAATTAGCATTGCGCTAACTGCGTGTTGAAATTATCACACACTCGCCTCAAACCTCACTGATTGTTGTGAATGACCTAATAACCCAAACCTCATCAGTGTTCAGCGTGTGTCTGAGAGGAAAATCCTGCTGGTGGAAACCCATCCACACTGATCTGAGATCAGATTTTCATTCCTTTCACATCTCCTCATTAAAAATCTCTTTCTTTCTGTAAGCGCGATTGACGCTGCGTTTTCCTGTTTATCCCAAAAGCAATTACACCCTCTGGAGTGTGGAGTAGTTAACACAGTCCTTCTCGCGTCTCTTCCTCCAAAACCCACAAATTACCACTCTCGTTTACGTGCCCCCTGTTGCTGGGTTCGCTTAATTACCCAGCATCCCTCAGGGGGCTCTAAATGCTGCGTTTAGATCTTTGCATCTTAAGTGATTTATAATTGTGCACCGTGTTAGCACAAAGCTGTATTTCTGTTTTATTCATGATCGTCTCTTTGAGGCCAAAGTGAACATCAGAGTCACTGCGTATTGTCTGAATCGTGCAATCATGGTGCTTAAAAATGCTTCAGTTGACAGAACGCTGTCTGCTGTATGATGTTGAAAGGGAATTTTTCAAAATTTCTATATGTTTCAGTGGTTGAGATGTAAACCAAGTCATTCAGAGTGATTTGATGTGAAATGGTTCATTGGAGAGAAACATGCCATCTCAAATATTGTCACTTTTTCCATTTTAGCCATTTTATTTGTCCAGTGCAGCTACACCGATCAGGCATAACATTATGACCACTTCCTTGTTTCTACACTCATTGTCCATTTTATCAGCTCCACTTACTATATAGGTGCACTTTGTAGTTCTACAACTACAGACTGTAGTCCATCTGTTTCTCTGCATACTTTATTAGCCCCCTTTTACCCTGTTCTTCAGTGGTCGGGACCCCCATGGACCCTCACAGAGCAGGTACTATTTGGGTGGTGGATCATTCTCAGCACTGCAGTAACACTGATGTGGTGGTGGTGTGTTAGTGTGTGTTGTGCTGGTCTGAGTGGATCAGACACAGCAGTGCTGCTGGAGTTTTTAAACACTGTGTCCACTCACTGTCCACTCTAGACACTCCTACCTTGTCAGTCCACCTTGTAGATGTGAAGTCAGAGACGACAGCTCATCTGCTGCTGCACAGTTTGTGTTGGTCATCCTCTAGTCCTTCATCAGTGGTCACAGGACGCTGCCCACAGGATGCTGTTGGCTGGATGTTTTTGGTTGGTGAACTATTCTCAGTCCAGCAGTGACACTGAGGTGTTTAAAAACTCCAGCAGAACTGCTGTGTCTGATCCACTCAGACCAGCACAACACACACTAACACACCACCACCACATCAGTGTTACTGCAGTGCTGAGAATGATCCACCACCCAAATAGTACCTGCTCTGTGAGGGTCCATGGGGTCCTGACCACTGAAGAACAGGGTAAAAGGGGGCTAACAAAGTATGCAGAGAAACAGATGGACTACAGTCTGTAACTGTAGAACTACAATTACAGACTACCAAAAGCATATCTCAAAAAAAGGATCGTAAAACAGTGTGTCAGACAGTAGGCAGCATATTCGTGACCTTTCATGTACAGCACTGCAGAGTCTAGGATGAGATTTTACACTTTAAAAACCAGAAAATTCCCTTTTGCTGATGAATCTTGAACTGTTTTAGAGATCATTTTTGAGGGAGCTGTTTGGAATGTTTTCTTATGCTTGCTAGTGAATACCTAACATTACTGCTTGGAAGCTGGATATCTTACTGCAATATCCTACTGTCTTCAAATCATCACTGTAATGGAGAAAATGGATTAATCAAGCAACAGAAACGACTCAGATGAGAAGAACAGCCAGCTAGGGACAGAATACTGATTGGGCCACTGGGGCCTCTGTCTACCAGGGACCTCGGGACCACAAGGCCCAAGGCCCCTCAAAGACTATGGACAGTCCACTGCAGAGGCAAAAATTAGATGAAGGGATGGCCCTTATATGTAATGACTTAACAAGCATTGCCACTATATTTAAAATAATTAAAAGCCCCTGTAACAATGAAAATGTGCAGAAATATAACTACAGGAAAATAGTAGACTATTGAGCATTATTTGAGAATTAATCATTTTGGCTACATTACTGTCACACATCCCTCTGACCCAGCTTCCTCTAAGGACTCATGTGATCTCCCAGTGAGTTCTGGGAGATCACATGACTGTAGTACACCACCATCAACCAATCACTGTTCTTCCTCACCTGAGTACTGATATACCTCACATGTTCATTGTAATGATTGTTTGGTATAGATAGTATTTAAGCCTGGGCTTTAGTTTAGCAAGTTGCGAGGTATTGCTTGTTACTACAGCTACTGAGTGGTCACTGTGTTTATTGATTACCCATGTAGTGTCCCTTGTTTCTGCATTTTTTGACTTTGTCTTTTTGCATAACACCTTTTAGGATCTTGTTTGCTTGGACCTGTCTTTGTTATGCTTTGCTGTTTTTGCATGTGGTTTTTCCTGGATCTGACCGCTGCCTGTTTTTTGATAACAGTTGGCCTTACATCCAATAAGTTAAGCCTTATTATTAACTGCATGCTTCTTCTTATTAACCTCATGCGTCTGACTAGTTCTGGCATGTTACAATTACACTTGTTCTTATCACTGTAAGTGCACATAAACAAACGTCATCAGTTTCCTAAAGGGCCCATATCCATTTTTTTTATTAATATTTTTTCTTAAGGTCCACTTACGTTTGTGAACAGAACATTTGGAAACTTTAACAGTGTTAATATACTATATCAGGGTATTTTATTGTAAAAATGTGAGGATATCCAGTTTTTCATGATACGGTTATTTTGCAGGTCTGGTTATTTATTGCGTTTTGGTCAGAGTGTCGGGGTTGAGGGGCCTCCGAAGGCACTTGTGCCCAGGGCGTTTCATGGACCATGAGCTGTCCCTGCACCTAGCTAAAAGCTAAAGTTTGCAAGGTAGTTGGATATTTAGATACTACAGTTTGGCCTCCTCTCTGGCTGAAAGGGTTAAACCTTGTTTCTGGTGTCCACTTTGTGCTGAATAAAGATAGAGTAACTGTTTTCTTAATAATTTTGTTCGATGACTGAGGTGACATGAGTGCTAGCTTCGCTGTATTTATTAGCGTCTAACTCCGTGGCTAGACTAGCAGTCATGGTTGATTTACACCACAGAGATTCTCAATGGTTGCATGATTTTATGATTGTGTGATGCATGCTGGGTTTTGTAGTTAGAAAATATTGATGAATGAAGACATGAAACAATATAAAGTCTTGAATTCTATCAAAGTGATGAGGCGAGTGTGTTTACTTTTGTGATTCGGCTCCCTTGGTCTAGACCAAAGCAGAAAATGATATATTCTAGTTCACTTAGTGTTCACACTATCATATTTGACATTAATCTAAAAGATGTAAACAAGTTATTTTGGGCAGATTGGGCAGCATTTATTGGGCAGACCTCCCCCTGACTGTGATTGGTCCTACTCACAATGTGGTTTGTTCTGAGACTTCCCCGTCTGTGATTGGTCCCAATCCTTGTGTTGTTTGTTTTGAGACCTCCCCTTGAATATAATGATGATTTCTAATAGCCGTGTGGTTTGTTCTGAGACCTCCTCTTGACTGATTGGTCCCCATACTATTTGTTCTAAGTCCTAATCCTGGCTGTGATTGGTCCACTGCACAAAAGGTCCTTCTAGCAGTGCTGACACATTCTTTTTAAGTATACTTATGACAACGTGTTCAGCAGTAGTTTGATTTTGTTTAATCCTTTCTCTGTTTAAAGTATACAACCAGCTTTAGTGTGGCGCTGCAGATTCTTCTGAAGTCAGAGTGTGAACTCGTGGTGAGCTGCACATCTTCTTTTCCAGCAAAAGCAACTCCAGAGTCAAGCAGCGTTCAGTTCCTCTCAGCATGTACATGGGTCTTTTACATTTCTCAGCAGGGATCTTTTGCATTTGCATACTCTTCCTCATCCATGTGTTAGTTCTTGGAGTTTGTAAAAAATGAACTGAACGATCAGCGTCTCTTTTACTTCTTCTAACAGGAGCCGCAGTGTTCATGTGCCCCGCTGTGACTTTCTCTTTGTTTCTGTCTCCTCATTCTGTATCTCTGTTTGTTCTCTGTGTTTTGCTCTGTTAGGAGATGATGACCAAGCTTATTACTGAGACTCCAGACCACCCTATCCCATTTCTGATTGGTCACCTGCAGACGAAGCAGGAAAGTCCAGGCCGGCTGCAGAGGACACTGTCTGGCTCTGCAGCACTGTGGGCAGACAGCGGCAATCCAGGTCAGAAATCATTCACAACCTGTTCTTCTAAATTATTTTGACTCTCTTTGCTTTTTTAGTGTTTTTAATGTTTGTCTTCCATGTTTTAAATGAATTTGAAATTGAATTGAATTTAAATATTTTTGTCATTAAAGCTTCTTGTATATTACTGTTTCACTATCACTAGCAATACTGGTATACCAGAATCGAAATAATTTAAACTGCCTTTCTCACTTTCTCTCTCTCTCTCTCTCTCTCTCTCTCTCTCTCTCTGTCTCCCCTCTCTCCCACTGTGACTCTCTCTCCTTTTCAACCCTTACATGGCCAAGTTTTATTACACACTTCTATAACCTGAGAACAGCTCAGCCAGTTTGCATTGAAGTCCCTGCAGTCACTGAATAATAAGCGGTTAAATTCTTTTTCTTTCTATCTCTCCTTTCTCTCTCTCCTTGCTCTGTCTCATATTCTCTCTCTCTTTCTTTTTCTTTCTTTTTCTTTCTGTTTCTCTCTCTCCTTTCTCCCTCTTTCTTCTGTCTCCCATTCTCTCTTGAAAACCTTTACTCTCCTCCCTCTCCCCTCTATGATCTCCTCTTTCCTTCTTTCTTTCTTTCTTTCTTTCTTTCTTTCTGTCTCTTTCTTACTCCCCTTCTTCTTTGTCTCTTATTCTCTTTTTCTCTTTTTCTTCCTACCTCTCTCTGTTGTTTTTTTCTGTCTTTTTTTATCCCTCTTTCTCTGTCTCTATCTTTCTTTCTGTCTCCCCTCTCGTCTTCTCTCTGTCTCGCTCTCCGTCTCTCTTCTCTCTCCTTTTTCTCTCTCATTTATTCTCTCTCTGTCTTCCCTCTTGCTCTGACACTCTTTCTTGTTCTTTCTGACTGTCCCCCACCCTCTCTCTCTTTCTCTCTCTCTCTTACTCTCACTCAAACACACAACAGATTTGAAGTGTCTAATTCTTGTCTCAGTCTCAGAGTCAGTCTGTGCCATCTTTCTCCACAGAAAACAAAAGCAATCGGCGGGATTTCAGGAGTTACGACAAAGCCTGGCAGATTCACCCCAAAAAGCCCAAGAAATCAAAAAGTGACCTGGCAGTGTCCAATATATCCCCACCCTCACCTGAGTCCAAATCATGTGAGTAACTTTTACATAAAACCCATCTTCTGTTCCAACAGTACGTTTTAACTTGGCCTTTTGCCTTCACTGTTTTATCTGGTGGATCTTACGGGTCACTCTGTTTACTGTCCTAGCACAAAAGAAGCTTGCTTGAACACCAAATCAGCAAAACCCAGAAACCACTGCAATTTCACACAGTGTCAAACCCAGAGCAAGAGGAACAAAATATTTTACTACATTTTACATTTAAAAATGAACATTTGGTTTAATTTGTTCAGGCTGGACTTCTGCATCTGTTATGATTGCTGACATGTAGCCTGTTAATTTATTCTGCTAGCTGGCTAGTTAGCATACTAAGGGCTACATAGCTAACAACAACAAAAAAGAAGTGCAATGCACCACTGTTCTCGTTCTCATTCAGGCTGAAGCTCAAGTCAAACAATGCAGTTATTCAAAATGTATGTACATTTGAACATCTCAAAACAGTTTGCATTCCTAAGTTTTCTTAGCTCGCTAATTAGCGGACTGAGACTAGCCTAGTCGAGAACAAGTGTGTTCCTGTGGGGATGAAAAATGCAGACATACGTCATTGATTGTTCAAAACAGTTTGAATTTTTATCAAGACTTTATTTGAAGGTTACCGACATCTACAGGGTCGTTCTAACACATGCATCCGCATTGAATAATGCATTTATGATAATTTAATATTTATGAACAGTAGTTGCAAGATATAACAGTATAAAGGGGCCTTAAACTAAAGTGGTTATTTCTTCCTTTAATAACACTGTTATGAAGCATCATTCCCAAGTACTGGCACTTGAGATGATCATTTTCATATATATTTTTCCATACATATGAATATACATATTCCCAAACAAAAATCATGCTGAGTGAAAGCAGAAACATTCTTGGTAAATAAAAGTAGACATTCTCAATCTGCATTTCTACTTGGTTACAAAAGTACATAATTATTTGCTTTTGTTAATTTTTGACAAAAAAACCTCAGTAACTAAGCATGATAGCAGCTCAGCAATGGCTACGAGTTACACACACTACAGAACACGTTTGATTTCAGGTTTCACTCAGATATTCTCTAAACGTATCATTTTAGCATCACTTAGCTGGAACCAGGCCTGTGCTGTGGTGTGTCTGGCATGGTTGGTCTGCTAACTAAGCTATTGTTAGTTTGGCAAAAACGTTACAGCCCCAAACACCACAGAACAGGTTAGATTTCAGCCTTTTGTCACTCCAACCCAAGTCACTCCACTTTTATTCTGTCATACATTGTTTTTATCTTCTATACTGGTTTTAGCAGAGCACCAGTTAGTCAGAGTCAAGCCTGTGGATTAGTGTAAAATCAGGCTAGATTCTCCAGGGGAAGGTTTCATTTTGCTTTTCTATCCCTTCCGTGCAAATTTCTTGACTTTACTCCCTCAGATTTCAATCATCATCATCTAAACTTGAGTCAGTGCTTCATTTAGCCAGAATCAAACATGTTCTGTGGTGAGTAGAGCTGTTGTGCTAGCTAAGCTAATACTAGCCTAGACAGCAGCACTACTTTACATTCAGCAAGTTTTAGATGGATGGTTTGACATTTACTGATTGATAGCTTAAAAATTATGCACTGCATTTACTTATTTGGTGATCAAGTGAAATAAACTTCTTAATTAGATTTGATTTTGAAATAACACTGTATGAGACCGTACAAATACTTCTACATCACTTGCGATGCCCACCTAGGTATAAAATAAACAGTAGTAATACTTGGAGAAGATTTGAAGGTATAGAAGAAGTGGATATGGCCCAACCCTACACCTCGTTGACCCCTCTTCCCCTTGTCCTGCCAGTGGCCACTTGTGGGGTACTTCTAGTTATAAGGCGAGGTCAGCAAGGGCATGTTAGCAACAGTATTGAAGCAGAGCGCTAGCATCACACATTTACTTCGCTTCTGCTCTATTAGACATTTCTCATTTCCTCGAAACTCACCTGACATCAGCTGTCTTGGTTTTTTCATGTCATGTTAAGTCTAATGTTAGGATTATAACAGAGGAAGCTGGTCCTACATCAGAGAACAATGGCATGCAACTTCTACCCAGAGACAGTAAGCGCATGCATCTGTTCTGGTGAGCACTGAATGATACATAGCTGCGGTGAAATATGTCATATTGGGCCAGAGAGAAAGACGTAAATAATTTAGCATCATGCTCTGTCACTCTGCCAGTAGCTTCTATTTTAGACTAGGAGGAGGACATTGCCTACTTTTAGAGGAAATGGTACAGAGGCGTAGAGGATCCGTCTCATTTGAGCTTGTGGGTGGCTGTCTGTCTCTATCGCTGGTAGATGCCTCAGTGCGGGTCGTTTTCACTCAGACGTAGAGATCTTATTCTGACTCTACATCTCATTATCACCTCCCCCCAATATGTCAGATTTCCACCATAGTAATTGGCTGACTGTGCCAGTTTTCTTTCAAACCATTTGAACTCAGTTAAAATGATCATTCACTGGCATGTTGGTTTTCTAGATAACTGTAGGTAGTTGGAGTGTATCAGTACGTCTCATCACATAGTCCTGATCAAGACACCTGCAGCTTTGCACAATACAGCCAACAGACTGGAGCAAATAAAGGTACAGCTTACAAAATATGTCTTACACTGCATTGTAATAAAACGGGCAAGTGCACAGTGAGGGCAGGCTGTTCTTGCTCCCTTGCCTTTTTACTATAAAAGCAAGTTATAGGGGCCTGTTAGCAAGTTTAAAAATGACAAAAATCAAATTCACAAAATATTCCATATACCCCAGATGTAGTTAATCAACCAAGACATATTAGTTTGTGACTAGTGTGTTAGTTTGTGCCTAACGTATTAGTTTGTGACTAGTGTATTAGTTTGTGACTAGTGTATTAGTTTGTGGCTAGTGTGTTAGTTTGTGGCTAGCGTATTAGTTTGTGGCTAGCGTATTAGTTTGTGGCTAGCGTGTTAGTTTGTGACTAGTGTGTTAGTTTGTGGCTAGCGTATTAGTTTGTGGCTAGCGTATTAGTTTGTGGCTAGCGTATTAGTTTGTGGCTAGTGTGTTAGTTTGTGGCTAGCGTATTAGTTTGTGGCTAGCGTATTAGTTTGTGGCTAGCGTGTTAGTTTGTGACTAGTGTGTTAGTTTGTGGCTAGCGTATTAGTTTGTGGCTAGCGTATTAGTTTGTGGCTAGTGTGTTAGTTTGTGACTAGTGTGTTAGTTTGTGGCTAGCGTATTAGTTTGTGGCTAGCGTATTTGTTTGTGACTAGTGTGTTAGTTTGTGCCTAACGTATTAGTTTGTGGCTAGTGTATTAGTTTGTGGGTAGTGTATTAGTTTGTGGCTGGCATATTAGTTTGTGACTAGTGTGTTAGTTTGTGCCTAACGTATTAGTTTGTGGCTAGTGTATTAGTTTGTGGGTAGTGTATTAGTTTGTGGCTGGCATATTAGTTTGTGACTAGTGTGTTAGTTTGTGCCTAACGTATTAGTTTGTGGCTAGTGTATTAGTTTGTGGCTAGCGTATTAGTTTGTGACTAGTGTGTTAGTTTGTGCCTAACGTATTAGTTTGTGGCTAGTGTATTAGTTTGTGGCTAGCGTATTAGTTTGTGACTAGTGTGTTAGTTTGTGCCTAACGTATTAGTTTGTGGCTAGTGTATTAGTTTGTGACTAGCGTATTTGTTTCTGGCTAGTGTATTAGTTTGTGACTAGTGTGTTAGTTTGTGGCTAGTGTATTAGTTTGTGGCTAGCGTATTTGTTTCTGGCTAGTGTATTAGTTTGTGACTAGTGTGTTAGTTTGTGGCTAGTGTATTAGTTTGTGGCTAGTGTATTAGTTTGTGACTAGTGTGTTAGTTTGTGCCTAACGTATTAGTTTGTGGCTAGTGTATTAGTTTGTGGCTAGCGTATTTGTTTCTGGCTAGTGTATTAGTTTGTGGCTAGTGTATTAGTTTGTGACTAGCGTATTTGTTTCTGGCTAGTGTATTAGTTTGTGACTAGTGTGTTAGTTTGTGCCTAACGTATTAGTTTGTGGCTAGTGTATTAGTTTGTGGCTAGCGTATTTGTTTCTGGCTAGTGTATTAGTTTGTGACTAGTGTGTTAGTTTGTGCCTAGCTTATTAGTTTGTGGCTAGTGTATTAGTTTGTGGCTAGTGTGTTAGTTTGTGGCTGGCGTATTAGTTTGTGGCTAGTGTATTAGTTTGTGGCTAGTGTATTAGTTTGTGGCTAGCGTATTTGTTTCTGGCTAGTGTATTAGTTTGTGACTAGTGTGTTAGTTTGTGCCTAACGTATTAGTTTGTGGCTAGTGTATTAGTTTGTGGCTAGTGTGTTAGTTTGTGGCTGGCGTATTTGTTTGTGGCTAGTGTATTAGTTTGTGGCTAGTGTATTAGTTTGTGGCTAGTGTGTTAGTTTGTGGCTAGCGTATTAGTTTGTGGCTAGTGTGTTAGTTTGTGGCTGGCATATTAGTTTGTGGCTAGTGTGTTAGTTTGTGGCTAGTGTATTAGTTTGTGGCTAGTGTGTTAGTTTGTGGCTGGCATATTAGTTTGTGGCTAGTGTATTAGTTTGTGGCTAGTGTGTTAGTTTGTGGCTAGTGTATTAGTTTGTGGCTAGTGTGTTAGTTTGTGGCTGGCGTATTAGTTTGTGGCTAGTGTATTAGTTTGTGGCTAGTGTATTAGTTTGTGGCTAGTGTGTTAGTTTGTGGCTGGCGTATTAGTTTGTGGCTAGTGTATTAGTTTGTGACTAGTGTGTTAGTTTGTGGCTAGCGTATTAGTTTGTGGCTAGTGTATTAGTTTGTGGCTGGTGTGTTAGTTTGTGGCTAACATATTAGTTTGTGGCTGGTGTATTAGTTTGTGGCTAACGTATTAGTTTGTGGCTAGCGTATTTGTTTGTGGCTAGCGTATTAGTTTGTGACTAGTGTGTTAGTTTGTGCCTAACGTATTAGTTTGTGGCTAGTGTATTAGTTTGTGGGTAGTGTATTAGTTTGTGGCTGGCATATTAGTTTGTGACTAGTGTGTTAGTTTGTG